TTACCCCATAAACATCATTTTCAAATTAATTCTTGCTCCATAAACATCATTTATTTTCTTGCCTCATTGGTATCATTTACATATTAATTCATATTTCGTAGATATTTTTTTACATAATACTATCCTTTTGCCCTATAAACATCATCTTCATATTATTTCTTGCCCTATAAATATCATTTATTTTCTTGTCTTATTGGTATCATTTACATATTAATTCTTATCTCGTAGGTATCTTTTACATGATACTATCCTCCCATAAACATTATTTTCAAATTAATTCCTTGCCTTATAGGCATCATTTACATGTTATTATTTAAAACCTCATCCAGATAGCCAACTTGTATATAAAATAGATAAGTCTAATTAAGTCTAATTCCTTGCCTTATAGGCATCATTTACATGTTATTATTTAAAACCTCATCCAGATAGCCAACTTGTATATAAAATAGATAAGTCTCCATTCAAATGACTGATTTATACATATAATTAACTAGTCTTCATTTAAACAGTTGTCTAAGATATAAAATAGATAATTCTTCATCCAAACAACTAACTTAACATATAATTAATCAGTCTTTGTCATTGCAACCGATTTATTTTTAACATTATCAAGTTTTGTTGTTGCGCCCATCACAAAAACTAAACTAATTAATCTTTATTGTCGCAGTTAACTTAATATTTATACTATCAAATTTCACCTATATTAAGAATTAAACTAATTAGTCTTTACAGTTGCAATTATGTAGGTGTGTTATTATTTAATGTCATTACTCTACCCAAAAACACTATCCTTTCACCTCGAATGCATAGTTCCCCATGACATTTATTTTCCTCCTCAGAGGCATATTTCTTGTGATGTTATCTTCCATAATATCATAGTTTTGATAATGAATATTTGTTCTTGATATATAGATACAAGTATACAATTTGTATTTCAACATTTACATGAACAACTAAATTAATAATAGGGCAAAAAGAAAACCCTTACCTGAAGCTCTTATTGGAAGTGCTCCTGAAAAAATGAGTCTTACTTCAATGTCTCTTTTAAAATCCTCAAAGATAAAATTTGAATATCCTATTTGGCCAACACACATATTCACTTATTTAATAACCAAGTTAGTTGGATATATAAATACATACATTACTATAAACAATTATACAAGTCTTATCCTATTTCAGTATTTTAATATACACTACTCAAGCCTTCACACTATAATTTTTATGTGTTTAACATAAATTTTCTTATGCATATTTTTCTTTTGTTTAGCCGCACTCAAGAAAATATTAGAATTTCAAATTTAACTTCAATCTCCTTTAATTTCCATCAAAGTCATTAATTATCAACACAATATATCCTATTTTTTAGTTTAATTAAACCTTCCCACAACAAAATTATCAAATTTCATTTATGAAACTCCCTTTTCAATATATAAAGCATACAACCATCCATTATTCTATCCTAGGCCTACATAATAATTAATTTACACATGATTTTACAATTAGAACAAATTCTTATTTTCCTAACAAATGCATTTCCATGATCGATTACATTAGCCTTTAAAATTGTAAAATCCTAATATCTTTCTAAATATTACAACATCAATAAAATACTAACATTTACACAATTTCACCAATCTTCACATTTTCTTCTTTTCTTTCACACATTTAACAACATAAACCAATATCAACTAATTTATTCCACCTAAATTACCATTAAAATTAACTCACTTCCATCCATAATCACACCACTCAATTTAAGTATAACAATAATATCTAAAACACGAAAATTTACTCAATTCTAACACTCCACACTTCCATCTTTTCAACTTTAACAAATATTTTCTAATGTTTAGGCATTCTTCTTCATATGATTTGCAAATATAACTAACACAATCCCATTATCATATTAATCAAATTTAAATATAACATCATTATTAAAATACTCACATTATACAATCTTATAAATTTTCACATTTTTATCTTTCCAATATATAACAACATTAACTAACTTTCTATAATTCCACATTTCAAAAATCATACATAATCTCAAGCATTTCAAAACATTATTTAAAACACCAAAATCATTCTAATTTTATGAAATTTCTAAATCCTTAAAATATTCAAATATAATTGGCTACTAGAGTCTTGATTTCTCAAAATTAGTTTTTAATTTCTTCAATTATATCCTTAATCATATCATATAAACTCTGAGTAACTAGCAATTACTCAATCTATCATATCAATAAAAATTTACATAAACCTCAAATTCATAAATTTTGAGATTTTCCAACTTGTCATACAATTAACCAAATTCAAAACATTTCTATACATTATTATAACCTAATAGCAATAATAAATAACTCAATTAAACATTCAATCACAAAAACAATATGAACCATAATTTCAAGAATGATGAACATCTCAATTCAAAAATAAAAATCCACTAACGCCTTTTCTCTTTAATTTTTCATAATTTGGTCTGATATCATAGATGAAAATAACTTAATCGCATTTCATAACTCATAACCCAAGTAAATTTAAAGAAGAAAGGAGGATCAAATCATAAATTTTGAGTTCTTACCCCTTTACATGGTCGACTAGTTTTATTGAGAGAGGGAGGGGGATTTTGTCAAGAATTACAACGATACCACTCGTTTAAATCCTATATGCATTGTCATATCCATGTCCATCAATATTTTTGCATATAAAAATTTATTATTATTTCATTCGATTTTGGCATAGCTATCGGGGGATTCTTCATCGATTATCATAATAAAATGTTCTCTAAATTTTATTATTTTTTAGTTGAAAATTACATTGTTATGGACGAGGTTCACATTGACTTTCAATATTTTCATGCATAAGATAATTCTTTAGTTCATTTGAGTTTTTCACTAAATAACCAAGGATTTGAACTACTCATCACACAAAAATATTTATTTTATTTTATTATTTCCTGGTTGGGGATTTACATGATTCATCACAGGGTTGACATTTCACGTACCAATTTATTATTTTATTTCATCTAAGACTTTAGAGCTATTTTTTTAGGGATTTTTGTCCCTATTCATAAAATTTTTCCTCTTAATTTATTATTTTTTGGTTGAGAATTACCCTATTTAACACTAGTTTTATAATTTTAGGTTGAGGGTTTACATATGCTCTCTTTTCGATGGAAGTTGTTATGTTTGTAAGGTATAAAAACACCTATGAAACATATAGTTTTAAGCTCATTCATGTTAGATGAATTATTATCTAATTTATTCCTTATTCTCTCAATATATATAATTATTATCTTTTTTTTTTAATTTAAACAACTCATATCACATTCATGATATAACTTTACTAACTTAAGCATCAAAGGTCCTTAAATCTCCATATAAGACTTCTAGTGTTCATAAAATTACAGTGTAATTCTTCTTCTTTGACTTTTTAGCCTAGTTACTTATCATTGAAAAAAATAATTCAGTGGGGTTTGCTAAAAGGCTTGTCTATCGTGCTATTTGTTAGATACTAAACAGAAACCAATTCATCTCCCTTTTCTTTCTATAAACATTTTAGTTTTTTTAATAATAAATAACCCAAAAACTTTAGGATATGGAAAGGTTATAGACCTCTTCACTATAGATACACCAATAACTTTTCTAGATCTCTAAGATCAAGTTTGATTAGTGAGAATACTCAAGGAGACTCGTTTAATTATATAAAAAATAATCAAGGTTTTTCCTCTTCTTTAGTAGGTGGCTTCACCTCTAGTACTACCACCTGCTCCTTTTAGTGCATAAAAACAACCTTAGTTTTTAGAAGACGTTGGTCAGAATTACATGTAACAGAGTAGAAGGCATCACCATTATTCTCAAAACCCACTCTCATTATCATACAAGGTGTTCGTATAGTGGACATGTATAAAAGAAAAAAATAAAAACTAAAGCAACATGCAGTCATAATCATAATCATAAAAGTAGTCATCATCATTGTTATTGTTACTTGATTAGTACTTAAAAATATATTTTTTATCAAGGTTTTATATCATTATTTTGCACTTGAAATATCAATAACTCCTTAATTAAAGCATATTTTATAATAACATATCTAATAATATAAGATACCTTTAATTTATGATAAATGATTATTTTAAATGCAGGCCTATCACATAAATAAAATGATTGATTGAGGACTTTAAGAACTGAAATTGAAAGGACAAAGAGATGGCCAAACTTAGAAAAGAGATGTCGGTGCAGTCCAAACCGGAACACTGTTCGGTAATTGGGTCATATCTAGAGCTGTAGATCTCCGATTTAGGTATACTTTATATGTATGGGAAGGAAAGACAGAGGCCTACAACTTTGATATGGAGCTCAAGATTTAAAAAGGTCATTTCCAAGTCCAAATTGGAGCAACAACAAAGAAATTTGAATCTGTCATCCAGCCCAAGCACTGTTTAGTGTTTGACTCATATCTAGAGTTCTAGAAGTTCAAATGACCTCAATGTTTTACACAAGAAAGCTGAGACAATTTCCTACAACTTTCATGTTCAAGTGGTTCTAATTTTGACGTTATCAATAAAGTTTTGGGTAGACAAGAGAAGATAAGGATTGTCACCAAGTCAAGAGTTG